AAGCGTAAGTCAGTATATATATTTCTTTCTCTGGATTCGGATGAGAAGCTGGAGATGCAGCGGAGTAGCTGGAGAATCACACGAGAAGTTTGATAAGCCGGTCCCGGCAGAACTGGCTTCACGAGATCTTGACCGTTGATTGGAATATCAGACGGAGGATGAAAATGGGAGTAACGTGGATGGCGGTTCTCTGGAGGAGCCCTACGGGCTATCTATCTAGGGGAGAAGCCTCTGATGATCCATATCTAGGGGCCTATCCATATCCGATCCATCCGCTGCACTGCACACACACTAGTGCTCTACTCCGATCAGCACATGCAGATACTCCTATGTGGATGGATGCAGCCCAGCAGCCGTGCACCAATAATCGATGCACGGCCGGTGCACCTGTGCTGCACTACCTGCTTTTGCTCACGCGATAGATGTGACTTGTGAGTTCGTCGTCGGATCAGATCAGAGCGGCCCGCACATCTTTGCCTGATCTAGATCCTGCACAAGCGACATGCATGCTGGCCATGCACTGTGAATCAACAAGACAGCAGAGAGCGAAAGCTGCCTCTTTACGCATTATACTCTCCGCATGCCCAGATTTGAGGAGCTTGTCCGCCACACGGGTCACGGCCTCACGGGCAATAGTATTTCGTATACTGGCCGGTGCTCTACAAACTCATTTTTATCTTCAGTAACAAAATAGATGGACAGCGTCCTCTCTCTCTCTCTCTCTCTCTCTCTCTCTATATATATATATATATATATATATATATATAAACTTAGGGCATGTTTGATTTCATGTACGTGGATGGCCTAGCCGGTTGGCCTGGCTATGGCCAGCTAGAGCCCGGTCCCAATGATACAAGTGTCCGTCTTTGATTGTATGTTCCTGTAGGGCCCAGCTCAGCTGAGAACGTGTTTGTTTGCCCGGACAGAAGAGTACGGTGACCTTCGGACTTAGAACATGGTAATGTTACCCCCTGACATTGTCATTGCCATTTCATCGAACACATGGAGGGCGTCCGCATCCAGCAGCAGCACATCGCCGGTGCAACTGCGAGTGAGCAGCAGCTAGCTAACGCTGGCAGTCCAGATTCCTTCGGTCCAGCCCGAGAGCTCCGCTCCCCACACGCACCACACAACCATAGGCACCGCCCTGCTGCTCGCGCTCCTCCTCGCGGCCGTGCCCCTCTGCGCGTCGGCGGCGTCGGCTGCGGGCGACGCGCACCCGGGCTACTCCGACGAGGGCACCTGCACGGTGGACGCCGGCGCGTGCGCGGGCGCGGAGCTGCGGCGGCTGGAGGAGCGCGGCGGGCGCGGACGCATCATCGACATCACGCACGCGTACGTGCCGGACCTGCCGGCGTTCGCGACGGGGGCGGTGACGGGGCCCGTGGTGCCATGCCGGTGCGGCGGCATTCGAGGTGAAGCAGGACTCTTGTCGCGGGTGCCCCGTGCATCGTCGCCGGCGGCATCCCTGGCTGCGGGTGCCGTGCTTCGTCGCCGCCGGTGTCCGTGTCCCTGGCCGCGGGTGCCCCGTACGACTCCGTGAAGGCGGTAGAGGGAGGTGAGAGCGCAGGAGGTAACCGAAACACGCCCCAGCTCGCTCCATCGGGCCAGGCTCTGAGAAAACGAACCCTCAGGTCGTTTCCTGGGAGCCACCCATTTGGGTGCTTTGAGGAGCGTGCGGGCCGGGCTGATGAATAGTGAAAGCAAATCAAACACCTGAACATGCAGCCCACGGGCTCAGCCAGGCCTCCGGATGATTGGCATCGTGACATCTTGGACACCATTTGCGATCTCTCACCTCAAGACAAGAGCATGTCACTTGTCAGTTGTCGTGACAACTTGGCCCTTGGACACCATTCGCGACCTCTCACCTCCAGTTTTCTTTTTTTCTTTTAAGAAGCCGAAGGTGCCCAGACTGCTGCTGTTCTACTCGATTAGCTAATGAGTTCCATGGGCCTCAAATCATCAAGTGTATCATCACATCAGTCTTTCTTTTCTTAGGACTCTAGAAAAGAAGATCATGGGCCTAAGCCCAAATCCAAGTCTAGGGGAGCATCCACGGCCCATCCACCGAATCCGCAATTCCCCATCCATCTCCGTACGCCGTACTACCCACAGACACACTCGGACTGACAGGGGTTTTGCTAGGGTTCTCCTCCTGCCACCACCGATCCACCCCCCGCCCCTGCCGCCGCCGCAGCGATGGCCGCCGTCGGCGAGGACGACGCGGCGTGGGAGCGCGCCATCTCCGCCGCCACCAAGGCCACCTCGGCCCCCAAGACCCTCGCCCTCGACGGCATCGTCAAGTCCTCCACGGGCCGCCTCCCCTCCGCGGCCCTCCTCGAGCGCGTCGCCGCCTCCCTCGAGGAGCTCTCCGTCGCGGGGGCCCGCCTCTCCTCGCTGGAGGGCCTGCCCCGCCTCCCGGCGCTCCGGCGCCTCTCCCTCCCCGACAACCGCCTCTCGGGGGCCGCCGCGCTCGCCGCCGTCGCGGAGGCCTGCGGCGCCACGCTGCGCCACCTCGATCTGGGTAACAACCGGTTCGCGGACGTCCAGGAGCTCGCCCCGCTCGCTGGCGTCGGGGTCGAGTCGCTCGACCTGTACCAGTGCCCCGTCACCAAGGTCAAGGGGTACAGGGAGGAGGTCTTCACGCTGATTCCCAGCTTGAAGCACCTTGATGGCGCTGACGCTGAGGGAAACGAGCGCTTGGAGACGGATGACGACGAGGACGATGAGGAGGACGACGAGGAAGGGGAAGAGGGAGAAGAAGGGGAAGGGGTGGAGGGAGAAGAGGGGGACGAAGAGGATGATGGAGAGGAAGGTGAAGAAGAAGATGGTGAGGACGGTGAAGGGGACGACGAAGAAGAAGGTGATGAGGAGGTGAGGGTTTTGCTCTAAATCTCTCTTATTATCAGTCAATATTTGTATTGATTAGTGTCTTTTCAACTTTTGATATGATGCGCTTCAACTCTTATACCTGAAGTACCTGAAAAGTGGCAATGCAATTCAACTCTTTAGCTGACAACTCCCAACTTGAAAAATGGGCTGTAAAATCATGTGCTAATGAATTTGTGAGTTCAGATTGATGAAGATGGTTACACAGATACGATTTCACTTAATTGATCTTTTGTTACTTATAGTCTTAACATTGACATTGCTAGATGGAGGATGTATGATGCTAGCTTTGAGGTATTACATTTAAATGTTTGTGGTACTGCATATGATCAATTTACTTGTGGACAACTTTCCTTTGGTAGGTTCCTATATGTATCAATATTAATTCATTTGTTTTATTTTATATGTCTACCTGTTTGCTTATGTGCCATTTTACACATTGAAGTGCCATGCCATCAATCTTTGTACACTCTCATTTTTGGCGTTCATTGCTGTTGAATTCTGCATGGGATGAGTAATTGTTGGTGTCTTATTCCAATATGAAAACCCTGGTATCATATTGAAGTTTATAAAAGTTATGACATCTCGCCATCTGGTGAAGGTGCATTGTTCTATATGAAATATTATTCTATCTGTTAGTAATTACGTTATTTCTAGAATGTGTAACTTGAGGTGTTCTGGGTAGGATGTGTTTATGTTGACCTCTTTCCTTCTTGATCTTCTACATAGACGATTTACCATGGGCTCTGGGCGTGCTGTTTTCATGCCAATATTTTCACTTAATATTTATCATAATTGCTGTGTATCATCAAGGTTCGACATTAGTCTTTTTATGTATTATCACCTAGTTATTTGTTCTTGTAAATGCTGTGATGCTCCATAATTTGAGTTTAGTCACTGAGCCCTCACGGTTCTTGGGCTGACTGTGAGTATGTCTATCACCTTGATTTTGTTTTAACAACTCGGTAGCTGCCAGTAACATCATGCTTTGTTTGTTGTTCCTCTAGAGATGGTAGTGTTAAACTCTTGATGATGCCATGTTTGCACTTTGCAGTGTGAGCTTGGGCTTGTTTTACCTTTAAAATTGTAACTGCCATGGCCTCACAAACCATTCTATCTAGCTCATTCTTGGACTTCCCTGCAATCGTCTTGAGTGACCTAAACAAGTTTGATTGAGCAGTCTAGTTTACCAATTGAAACTTGATTTTGTGGCAAAGAATTTGGTGAACCTTATTCTGCAATAATAATACATTTGACCATTTTCAGGCCGAAGACGAAGACGGTGAAGCTGAGGATGACGAACTTGATGCAGACGCAGAAGACATCGAAAGCAAAGCTGGATCTTCCCTGCCAAATAAGAGGAAAAGGGATAGCGAGGATGATGCCAATGGAGACAAGTAAAACGGCGAGGGAAATAGTATTTCCTGAACTTCGGAAGCGTTTGTGTGCACTGATTATTATTTTCATGCTTTCTGGGTCTTTTTTTCCCGCACTTGTAATAGACTAGAGCATAGTGTTTTTAGGCGGTTCCATTTCTGAACTTCTGAAGTATCTTCTTGATTCTGGAGGTTGTCTGACTCTGAAACAATGAGTAATCTTGGATGTCCCCAGCATGTATACACCCTTTGTTTGGTGTGACTTCCTGATGCTACTAATCAACATCCCAGTTCATATTATTCTACTTGTGCTTCTGGAGGATGATCTGCCCTGTTCGTTTGGCTGATAAGCCATGGCTGAAAATACTGTTGGCTGATTTGTTGTGAAAGAAAAATATTGTTCGCTCGCTGAAAAGGTACGGATTATAAGCCAAGCGAACAGGGCGGATGACCTTCCTTTGTTTGGTGTGACTTCCTGATGCTACTAATCGAGACCCCAGTTCATATTATACTACTAGTGCTTCAGCAGGATGATGACCTTTTCATGCTTGTATGTAATTATGTGTCCATTTCATTGGTGCGATTACTGTTAACATCTGTAGGCTAGGAAAATTTTAATGAAGGTAGACACACTGGCCCGTTCGCTGCTGAAAAAATAAACCGAAACAATGTTATGCTGATTTGCTGTGAGAGAAAAACACTGTTTCGGCTAAAAAAAAACTAAAAATCCATCTATCTTGGCTGGAACTCCGACACGGACATCCCGTTCAAAGAGAACGCAGCAGCAGCAGCAGCAGAACACACGTTACGCCGCTCATCAGAGCTCATCGTCTCCCCGAACGCAAAGGCGAAGGCCGGCTTCGACGGTGCCGCAAAGCCGCCTGACGATTGGCCGTGCAGCATGACGAGGACGTCGAGCATGGTAGGGCGGTCCGCCGGGTTCTCCTGCACGCAGAGCAGCCCCAGATGGATGCATTTCATCACCTCGCTCTCCGTCTCCGGGGCCTGGCAATCCAAGAACGGGTCCACGGCCTCCAGCGCGGTGCCTCTGACCCAGTGATCCCATACCTAGTAACACAAGACATAATCATTTACTTGGTTCGTGTATAAATTCTAAAAAAAAGTACAAGTATACGGTGTTTCTGACCCAGTGACCCAGCGGTGTGTGAAAATTAAAAAAACAATAGGTAGGACTAGGACTACAACTCACGTAGCTCAGCAGAATGATGGATTCTCCTGCTGCTGATTCCAACATGTCGGTGTTCTTCCGTCCAGTGACGATCTCCAGGATGAGGACGCCGAGGCTGTAAACGTCAAGCTTCACCGACAATTGCCCAAGAACTGCATACTCTGGCGACATGTATCCTCTGCCAAGCATGAAAACAGCAGAGTTTTCAGATCGCGGAGCTACTGCTCGACGAAGAAGCTAGGAAGAACACAGCACATAGCAATGTGGGCATGTGGACCGATCGTTCAATTACATACAGCGTTCCGACAATTTGGCTCGTGATGGTGGTAGTCTTGTCGGCGCTGAAGAGCCTTGCCAGCCCGAAATCGGAGATCTTCGGGTTCATGTCGGCGTCCAGCAGGATGTTGCTCGCCTTCAGGTCGCGGTGGACGATTCTGATCTGTGAATCCTCGTGGAGGTATAGCAGGCCTCGTGCTGTTCCATAGAGTATGCGGTACCTTGTCTCCCAGTCTAACAATGGACGCTTCTCAGGGACTGCAAGAAGGCCACACATTAGTGATATACTCGCATCTTGAGGAGTCAAAGATTCTTAATTGGCATGCCTGAGGTCGAGCACAGGAAGGACAGTGGCAGTGTTCTGTACCAAAAAGGAAGGTGTCCAGGCTTCGATTAAGCATGTACTCGTAGACAAGCAGCTTCTCCTGTCCCTTCAAGCAAACGCCGAGAAGCTTTGCAAGATTGTTGTGCCGAAGCTTGGCGACCAGCAGCAGCTCGTTCCTCAGCTCTTTCAGGCCTTGCCCTGAAGCCTTGTCCAGCCTCTTCACGGCGATTTGTCGTCCATCAGGCAAGAAACCCTGAAATTTTAGGCACCGTGTTTATGATGTACTGCATATTTCTGAATGTCCCCAGAGAGATGTGTCTCTACACTACTCTCTAGCAATGGTACCTTGTATACCGCGCCAAAGCCTCCATGTCCAAGCTTATTCTCTTCGGCAAAATTTGCAGTTGCCCTTCTCAGTGTTGCCAGGTCAAAGAGGAGCGACCCGGAATCGTCAGCTTCCTCCGCATCTGCATACACGTGCTTATTCTCATCGTTCACCATTAAAGTTATGAATTTTCGCCATGTTCTTTTTGCTTTGAGACTCATTTCTACCATCCTTTTCTTTTTATTCTTAGTATTTATGTTTTCTGAAATATCAAAGATATATGCAGAACTTGATCAGGAACAGGGCGCACAACTCACATCGTTTTACTTGTGCTTTTCTCCAGAGGTAGATCATGAACGTGGACAGGAGGAGGACAACTAGGACCCCGAGAACAATGGCCACTACTGTTGCTGCATATCCTGTTCCCCTTGTCCTCTTTGCTGCAGATACAATACATACAATGCAGATAATTAGAGCGATTAAGGAGATGTTTGGCAGAGTGACTTAGGCGGGGAGCTGGTAAGAATCACTTTTCCGTTTACACTAGGAGGTGGTTGTTTAAAAAAAACTACTCTCTACTGAATCACTCTACAATCAATTCTACCTGCTCCCTGCCTTGCTCCTCCACCATAATCAAGTAGAGTCAGAGAATCAAGGAGCAGAGCAAGAGAATCCCAGGAGTGGAGCTATCTCCCAAAGATGGCCAAAAGCTCGAGGACTACAGTAGTTGCAACTGTTAACGATAATCTCATAATTTATATTTGTGGACGATTCATAGATACTTGCTACAATTACTATGATGATTTGGGTTTCTGTTTTTCTATCTGAAATTATGCAAAGAGCCTACCATCGTCGTGGACTGCTGCACCCGGCGGAGCCGGCGTCAACGGAGGCGCAACAAGCTTCACTACCGGGCTGCTGTCATAGAAGAGGAAATCCTGGAATCTCAGGTTGCACCACACCGCGTTGAACTGGCCGCCGGCTGAGCCGTTGAACACGGCCGGCATCTCGTCCTTGAGCCTGCCGAGGCACGCCAGGCACGCCTCGGGAGCCAGGTTGGGCGTGCACTGCACCAGCCCGTAGATGTTGTGCACCAAGTTGCTGTCCGTTGTCGTGAACCCTTTGGCGGAGGTCACCACCCCGGCGGCGTATCTCGCCGTCGAGTTCCGCGCCGCCCAGGCGGACAGCGCGGCCACGAGGTCGGCCGCGAGCCCCACGAACCGACCGGGGTCGGCGGTGACGTTCACCTTCAGGTTGGGGCTGTACTGCACCGGCTCCGCGGCATTGCCCGGGCTGGCCAGGAAGTCCGTGTCCGAGTACCGGAGGAGGCAGCGGTCGTAGTAGATGGACACGTCCCTGACGCCCCTGCAGTCTTCGAAGGCGGTGTCCGGCGCGAGCGCGAGGCAGGACGCGCACCCGCTGCCGTTGACGTCGCCGCGGCAGAGCGCGAGGCCCCACGTCTGGTCTGGGGCGTGGCCGAGCGTGGCGGTGGCGAAGCCTACGGCGGAGCTGGACGCGTTGGCGGACAGGGACCCGAGGAGCGCGACGACGTTGGAGCGGTAGGTGGAGTTAAGGGCGTAGGAGCTGCCGTTGTTGCAGAGGTAGTTCATGAGGCTGAAAGCGTGGCTGCGGCCCGACCAGTGAACGGAGAAGAGAAGCAGCAGTAGGAGGACGGAGGCCATGTTGAGCGTGCAGGGTGCGAAATTCCGACCCAACGTATATAAAGAGAAATAACAAAAAGTAGAGTAGTGAGGACAGACCGGTACACAGGCACAAGATCGCGCAAAGAAAATGAAAAGTAGGGTCTTCAATCAGAATGATAATTATTCTCTATTTCCATGACCTGCACTATACGCAACGAAATAAACTCCCAGGCTTCCTACCTGCTACCTATTTCTCACTCACAAGAGCTTCGACCTTGCTTATACTTGAATTTCTCTTGCCTTCATTCCCATAAGAGAAAAGCTTTCCTACCCTAGTTCCTAAGCATAGACATTTCCTCTTTATTTACTATTAGATAGAGTAGAACGACTGTACCAAGCACCATCCCTATGTTGACTAATGCCATGCAAAGAAATCTACTCCTATGAATTCACATCTCTTTTCCATAAACTCCTATGAGAGGACCACTGACGACAAGATAACAGAAAAGTAGCTTACCCAAAGCTAATCCTCAGTTTCAACCAGTACAAAAGCAAAGCTTGTCCCAGCCTCATTAGACTGAAAAGAATTACCCCTGCCTTTGTTGGGTCCGGAACAGCGGCCCCTGCTGGAGTGAAACTTTCCACCATTTTCGCTCATTATATAATCCAACGAATATACATCGGATAGCTTTCTTGTCAAATTTACTTCGGCTCGCTCTTTTGATAGCCAAGAGTCCCGATCTTTCACTCCATCATGCCTTCGGTACGGGCTGGCTCACAAGATACAGCTTGCTTGTATTATCAGAAATCACCGATCCACCAACACTTGCATTTCGTTCTAGTGACAAGGACCTACCTTCAAGCTGAGCGATTGAGAAAAATCTCTGTTATAGCTGCCATTTCTTATTCATATTAGACCACTGACCAAGAGGAAACCATAATAATAATGAGAGATAAGATGCAGCTCACTTGGAAAAAAAACCATGTTCTTATTCCTTTACTTGTGTTCAGCTTTGTCATTGGTATGACAATCCGTTCTGTCAGACCCATCATAGGCTGTGTAAGGTATTATTGTCGTCACTTCAACAACTGAAAAGTTTTTTTTTCTAAAGTCGCCACTAGGACACTTGTTAGGAAGGCCTGAGAATGACCCTCTAGCCCTCCAATCTAAAAAAGTAGGAATGCAGGAAAATCATCACATTAACTACGCCATTCTTGAGCGTCAATCAGTATCCTCCTAGATTCTCATGTGTTGAGTATCAAACAAAAGATCCCATGTTCGGTTGGTCAGATCAATTCGGCTTTACCCATTCATTGTTTTATCGAGGCAAGACAAAAAGAGACAATTTTCTTATCTTTTGAGGTCTCAACGAACGGTTCTTAAATCATTAACGGATGCAGAAATGGGACAAGTTATTACCGGTTTGAGGGGACAATGGTTTTCTAGGTTGTTTCACCAATCTGTTGAATTGGAATGGAGCTCACGACCGTGAAACCCCTCGTTGTTTGATGGCACCTATCTTGTTCCCTTTGGGGAGAAATACTACTCTTGTTTTTCTTGTTCCTCTTGTTCTTCTTTCTCGAAGAGATGGGTGCACCGCCTTGGAGAAGGTAGTGTGCCTATCGACGACTCCTTTCCATTGTATGGGAGGATATCTTCTTTGTTGTAGCTGAACTGATGTATGAATAAGGAGAGTGTGAATGGGGATTGGAGAATGCCTTGCAATGAATTACGGATCCTTCTTGTATGTCCTCGAGAGGAGCCTCTAATGACCTTTCCACACCAGTTTGAGGGAATCCAATCCAGGTGGGAACTCCTAGAATGGGGTTAGAACTTGTTTTTCTTCATAAATATGGGGAATCTGCCATCGAACTACCACTGGTATGATCCGTCTTCGATTGACCAGCATCAGGTATCGGCTAATGGCATTTTAGAAAGCTTCTCTTCCCTTGTTGGGTTCCTACCGTTTACTAATAATAAGAGTAGTGGTCCCTTTAGATTGATTTTCTTGTCTGTCTTTGAATGAGAGATGCATAAACTAAAGAAAAGATATGCCCATCTGGATAAATAAATCAAGGTGCTATTATATTACTAGGGTGATCCTCTTTTGGTGGGGCAAAGGGAACGAAGAGAAGAGGTTTAGTATAAGAACAGAGGAAGGGTTGGAAAAAGATGAATCGGACTTCGCAGATTGAACTGAAGACTATAAAGAAGGAGGAAGAAAGCCCATAATTATCATGTATGACAAGGTTGTTCTTATCATGGTGAAACTGTTGGAAAAAGGTTACTGTGATTTTCTATCTATTAGTTGACTACGGAGCTTCTTCATCCCGACCTATCTATATGTGAAAAGCACTCTGCCAGAATCCTCGTAGTACTAAGTCGTGGCTTACAAGCTAGCCCCTACTCCTTGTTTGGGCAAGATCTATATGGTTTACCAACCTAGCATAGACACCATATCCTTTAGTGAAGAAAAAAGATTTTAAAAAACACACATGAAACATATTGAACTCCTAAGAAACACCTGACCTCAGGTGTTTTTTTCCCTTCTGGATGGTTCTGATGTAGTGAACAGCTTCCGACCATTATGACCTTTTATTTCATTTTTTATTTTCTATAGGAACTCACTACTGCTGCATTTCAAATGTGCCTGCCTATTGCCTTAATTTACAGACCTCTGCGATTCACATATAGCCACACTAATGTAAGACAGCTCAATCGAGTCTAGCCTGAGATATAAAATCACACTAGCCAATAAAAAAAGTAGCCAAACAAAGCCAGGTAGTTTTCATCCATAAGTACACAGGTGAACAAGTAGAAAGAGCTTACTTGGTAGTGGGGAACTCTTGCATCATCTGAGTGTATATGCCTTTTCAAAACTAGCATCGTAGGAACTTTAAGAAAAATATATTGTTTTAGCAGCTCTTATTTCTATTTTACTGCTCAACTCGCTCTTAAACATAAAAAGGGCACTTACCCAGAAAGGTCGGTTTTCTTACTAACCCACTTTAAAAGCCAGATCATATGCGGCGATATACTACGGCTGAAAGAAAACAAAGACAACAAAGCTTTCCCAGTGAGAAAACGGAGGACTTTACACACTTTTGCTTATTACCAAAGAAGCTTGTTGAAAGCGCACGCTTCATGAAAACAAAGCAGAAGGAAGCGGAATGTCCTGTCCACCAATAGTATACAGAATTTGGATACGTCACTAACTATAGTGAAAAGGATCTTCGGCGTTTTTACGATGTTCCAATCAATGGATAAGAAGATCCGCCCACAATATGTTCGTCTCTTGCTTCAAAGACTAGTTCTTCCGAAGGAGAGAAAGGAAAGCGTAGCTTATGAAAATGCCATTTGTTGTTTTGTTCGTTCGAAAGATCATTAAGGGTGGCCTGGAGGAAGAAATTCAGAATGATCAAACAATTGATAAGATGTAAAGTAAAAGCAAGAGTCTGAAAAGCTTCACCAAGTCGTCAATAGGTGTTCATAAGTAACAGGTCCTATAAAGGAATGGTGAAAAGGGTAAAAAAAGGCTGAATGACAAAGGAGAGGCCTATCATCACCATCATGTCATAGTTGACGACATCATATATCTTTACCAAGTGGTCATTGGATATTGTACAGCACAGCAATCCATCTACTCTCACCGCCCGGGCAGCAATGTAGACACCTTCGTTAGATAGAGATTCGAGAGGGGGGTTTTGAAATTGGACCCATATCTCAGCCATAGAGACGTGCTTCGGGTCAAGGTGAGATCTGAAATGCTTTGCGAATTCAATCCCCACTGCTTTCTTCTGCGGTGCATTAATATGATACAACTGAATATCTGACCACACTCTATCTTTGAAGTGGCTATCGTACCGGGCACTCAATAGCTTCTTAAAGTGCACTCGCTCATCAGTCGCAACATTAACGCACTCCTCCATTCACCCATACCTCGCTTTCAATTCCCAATTACGTGCTCTGGGAAAGAAGAATTACTAGCTCTCTAACACCGAGCAGATTCAATTAATAGGGCCGTCGATGCCTCCAATGAATTAGTATTATTTACTACTTCTGTCTCACCTCACCCACCCCACAGTCCTCGTGGGCAAAAAGTAGCTATTGCTTTCTTCCTCTTATGAGCATATTAAACCCTTAGAAAAGACAAAGAAAAAGGGCTCCACTCGGATGCTATTATATTAATAAGGAACTCTCTTTACTGAAGAACTAGCTCTCTCAATACCCTCGCTAGGGAAATGGAGAGCCTCCTCCTTTTCCTAGAAGTACTGTAAGGATTCTCCTACATATCCAAACTCAAGTAAAGACTTTTTCTGGGATGAGGAAGGAGATGCAAAGACAATAGAAAGCGCCTTACTGGCAAAGATAAGCCTTTTGACAACTGGCGTTACATCTCAAACTGGTTTGTGTAATACACTTCCTGGCGCGGGCTTGAAGGCCTATTTTGCTAACACTGGTGATAAGTTCCTTGGTCTGCAAGAAAGACGTAGTGTCCCCCTACCTAAAAGAGAGTCGTTTTGCTAATGGAGAATCCAAGTCTGGTCCTTTTTTCAAAAGAAAGGCTAAAGCAGTTAGCGAAAAACAAAACCGCACCCCGGTCATGCACGTAGGGTTTGAAGATGTACCGGTGAAAACAACATGGATGTGGACCTTCCTTAGATTTCTTCCGATGACTTCCGGTAAACTACGTGTGCGACACGTCCTGTAGGAATTCTCCGTCTCCGGTACGCGTAGTCTGTAGGGTCAGCATAGTCTGGTGGTAAATCAATGTGGTCTGGTGGTACTCTATATTATACTGTACAGTATATGTTTCTGCAAAGTCCAACAGGACACTGCGGCAAAGCAGAGTATGCGCTAGGAATTAAATTGTATGGATCCTGGGTCCATTCACTCTACAATGCAGGCTACCGCAGGACGTGCAAGTTCCGCTGGCGCACCTGCTTGCATCCCTATATTCCTATGGTGTCTTCCGTGATTCTGTCCATCTATCTTGGCTGGAACTCCGACACGGACATCCCGTTCAAAGAGAACGCAG